ACCTGAAAGTGAACTATGAAGTAATAGGTAAATTTGTTTGATGGGAACATTTCAAGCAGGGTAGCTTTCAGTCAGTGGTATCACTGCTGCGTTTATGGAGGAGAGACAGAGACAGAGAGACAAAGAGAGAGAGAGAGAGAGAGAGAGAGAGAGAGAGAGAGAGAGAGGAGAGAAGAGGATCAGGGAATAAAACATGGAGTTTGGTGAGGAAAGGAAGGTGAGTGAGTTTAAAACTGAAGATGAGGTAGGTATGGAGAAAGAAGCAGTAACTGTTTAAGAAATTAACACCATTAGAAGAGAAATTCAGTGCTCAAACCAGACAAATAAACAAGAGGCGGAAATTACAAGCTTATGTAAATATAAAAGGTGTTACAAATATGGATGAATCAAGTTGTTAGGATAAAATGCAGCACTGAATAAAGATAATAATATACCACGACCAGGTTGTTTATTCCAAGAATTCAGGGATTGCTTAAGCACTGTGTGGGTTGCATACAGAGCCCCTCCCTCTGTATCTGTTCTTACAAGAGGTTGATATATTATTGTTCCTTAGTGCAATGTGAGGCATGAGGTGTTTAGACAGAGCCTGGGTGGGTTTATAATTTGACAGCTTTATTAGAAGGCTCTGGTGGCATTTGGAGGTGGGGGTCTAGGTGAAATATGTTACTGATGGTGTGTTCCTGGTGATTATATCTTGGACCAGGCCTTACTCTCTTTCCTCCCGGTGGCCACAAGGTAAGCAGCTTCCCTCCACCATACCTTTCTTCCATGATGTCTTAGTTTTACCTCAGGCCCACAGTGCTGGACCCACTGACCATGGATTGAAACCGCCAAAATAAATCTTTTCTCTCTTAAAGTCATTCTTTAGGTGTTTTCAGTATTATAATAAAAAGCCTAACACATCCCAGCAACACTGTTTAAAAAACAAGCAACAAACAAACAAACAAACAAAAACCCCAGGAGAAGTATGACTAGCTCAGTGAAATTAAATTAATCTATAATAATAAAAAGTATAAGATTAGTTGGGTTTCTTGGTGATTCTGCCAAATACTGATAAGATTAGTAACAACTTTCTCTAAAATTCATTTAAGGAGTAAACGAGGAAGAAAACCTTGCCCAGTCATTCAGTGAGATCTGGTGGGGGATGTCCTTCTGTATGTATGTTTCTCTTATTTCTTGATGAATAAAAACCTGTTTGGCCAGTAGCCAGGCAGGAAGGATAGATGGATCTTCCAGACCGGAAGGCAGGGACAGAGGAAGGAGAGGGAGGCTGTGAAGAGAGGCCATGCTGCTAAGGAGTAACATGCCAGGAAGCCACAGTCTTGTGGCAATACATAGATTAATAGAAATAATTAAGAGAGAGCCAGTCAGTAAGAAGCGCTAGCCATTGGCCAATAGTTTTATAATTAATGTGTCCCTGTGTGCTTATTTGAGGCTAAAGGGTGGCGGGACCTGGCTGGACAGAAACCTCCACCTTCAGAGGTCAATTTCTCTCTCTCTCTCTCTCTCTCTCAAACACACACACACACACACACACATCAAAGTCATTGCAAAACAAAACTACAGATCAGCACATGAACACAGATAGAAATGGTCAACTAGAAAATTGAATCCAGCAGCCTATGTAAGGACCACACACTGTAACACTTTCTGGTGATACAAGGTGACTTCCCTTTGAAAGTCTTTAAGGGTAGTATGTCACATTAACATAACACAAGGCAAACATCCCCATGATCACCTCAGCAGATGAGAACAAAGCATTTGACAAGGTGCAACATTCTTTTGTGAGTAAAAACAATGTCTGTGAATTAGGGATGACATGCAACTTCAAGTAACTGCATTTAAAAAAAAAGGCACACCATGGTGACAGACTATTATTTCCCCCTGAGGTCAGGGGTAAGGTAAATGCTATCTAGTCTCCCCTGGAAGCTGTTGCCTTCCAGGGTGTTGAGGTCAGAAAAACATATAAAAGGCATATAGATTATGAAGGAAGAAGTCAAATTCTCTTAATTTGAAGACGATGTTTTTGTAAATCCCATGAAAAATAACACAATCATGTTATGAGTGTTTCAGGGTACATGTTCATGAGGTTGGCAATCTAATGGTCTGTTTTTGAACAGGATACCTTTATGGGATCATACTATTGTACCACAGGGATGTGGTACCTCTAAATAAAATGTGTGTCCTGCAGTAAAACCAACCATAAATCAAAACTAGTTGGACAGATGGCTCCACAGTGAAAAGCTTAGGTGGCACTTGCCATGAGCTTTGCATGTGAGCTGTGCACCACTGTAATTTGGTCTTTTCCTAATCTCTGGTACTGGAGGAGTTTATAAATGCTGCTTCCTGTTCTGTGCCTGGTTTCTCTCATAGGTATCCTATGACAGGAGACTTTTGACTCGCTTGTCTGGCTTGTTACAGTATTTTCTGTTCAGAAATTCGAGATTTTCTTGCCGTAGATCCACATGGTAGAAGTGTAGAAAGCTGCTTTCTGGATTGTCTTTTATGAGGACCCCTGTACCATTCACCGAGTCTCCACCCTTACAAATTAACCATCTGCTAAATTGCCACTTTCCAATCCCATCACTTCAGGAAATTAAGTTTCAACATATGATTTTGAGGGTACAAAGCTGTGGTGATATGTTATTTATGATTTAATATAGATTGCCTGGAGTTATTAGAATGCAAAGCCAGCCACACTGTTAGGTATAGAAGCTAAGCAGTGGTGGTACACACCTTTACTTCCAGGACTCAGGATGGATCTCTGTGAGTTCAAGTCCACCCAGAGATGCATGAGAGCGTAGGGCCCTGCATGGACCCCGAGGCACCTTGAGCAAGCCCGAAGCTGTTGGCCGGAGCATCTTGCCCCAGAGTTGTTACTGGTACTCTACCTGATTTGCTAACACACATCTGCTGGGGAGGAACTAAGCTCGAGAACTTGCACGCTTGACCCTTGATTGTTTTCCACTGTGCTGTGAGTCAGTGTATAAGCCCGTTCCATCCCCTCAATAAACGGCATTTGGACATTCTTGTTGCACAAATGACCCGTTGTCTTGTCCTTTATTTAAATCTCCAGGTCTCCGCCCGATTAGTGGAACAGATTGGAGTGCAGGCGCTACACAAGAGTGAATCAGTTCAAAAAGACTAACAGAGCTCATGCCTTTACATAGAGAGCTATGTAAAAGACAGGAGCCCAGTGTCTCAGGCTGCATTCTGAGATTTAGTCTCCAGCCACACTGAGGAGAGACGGCAGTCTGAGGCTCTTGGAGACAGGGTCTACCTCTTTCAATCTGAGGTAGAGGTAAAAGCTAGTGGCTGGCTGCTTTGCTTATCTGACCCTCAGCTTGAACCCCAATATCTCTGTGTCTTTTATTTTATTTATTTTTTTTTGTGTTACACAAAGCTATTCAGTGTACACCAATGTCTTACTAGTTTCTCAACCAGAAGACTGGAACCTGCTTTTCTGCCTTGGCAAAGGCTGTGGTCGGGGTCTGTGGCTAGACATAGTGTCTGCCCTTTGCCTCACCTCAGTCTTGGGATTCTCTCGTCCTGCAGCTGCCCTGGGTTGCCGCCCTCCTCACATCTGGGTGACATCTTTACCTTGCTGACGAATGGCCAGGTGTTGACACTGGCCCCAAGTTTCACTGTTTACTTCACCCTTCCCATGGGCTTTTCCTGTGCAGCATGTAATCAGTGCAACCATGAGACAAGCAGATCTCTGGACCATTTATTTCGGTACTTGAGGTCTTAGCCACTTGAAGCCCTTTGGATGATGAGGTGGCAGGGACCCAGGAGCCAGTGTCTGATGTGATGTTGAGAGGGGCTGGAAGTCAGGGAGTCAGCAAGAGGGTAAAGGGCTTCTATTCTGTAGCTATTTGCTTCCCTGGTACTTTCTTGGACATATGGTCAGTATGGATAACATGCTCAGCTGAAAATTTCTATCACATAGCTATATGGTATATGATATAGGTTGGTCTATATCACCTTTCAACAGAGACAGTATATGATGCCTAATGTCTGGACAAAACAAGGAGCTTCCTTGAATACGAAATCCCTCCTCCACTGATGGAAATGTTCTACTTTACAAACTGTTAAAGAAGACCAGTGTAAGCCAAATGGTGGGAAGAAAAATGGACCCCTGAAGACAAGGTAACGAAAGGAATGAAGCGGCTGCTCCTTTAGTGAGCTGCATGTCTGTAAACCCCAAAGGTTCCAACTCCTTGGGTAGGTGCGCATAGACCCTGCTTGAACAGACCCGTTTCTGACTTCCTTTCTCCTACAAAGCATGCCTTCCCAGCTCTCTCTGTTCATTCGCCTTCTGTGGGTAGCTGCCGAGATTTAAAGATTTCAAGCCTGTCTCAAAACTTCCCTCAGGCACGATTTTTCTTCTCTCCGGGTTTAATGAACTGTCCCGAGTTTTCTTGTTGGTCACCCCTCCTTTTTATGAATCATCCATGAGCCCACAACAACACAATGGATTGCTCCATCTATTTGCACTGAAGGTACAGGATTTAAAGTCCAATGCTTCAGATTCTATTCCATTCCAAGCTTTGAAGTATACTAGTTAATTGGTTATGTTTTAACCTCAAAATTCGATTTTTTTTGGGGGGGACTGGGTTTCTCTGTGGCATTGGAAGCTGTTCTAGAACTAGCTCCTGTAGACCAGGCTGGCCTCCAGCTCTCAGAGATCCTGCCTCTGCCTCCCGAGTGCCGGGATTAAAGGCATGAGCCACCACCGCCCAGCCAAAATTTGACTTATAAAGGGAGGAAGAAGATAACTTCCAAAGTTTGTGGCGAACTTTACTCATGGTAGAGGGCAGAACCCGGAACAAGGCAGTAACATCATTTCCTCCAGTCATGATGTGGCGTGGACACGTGCACAAATAAGACACAGGCTGTCAGGGTGCTGCATCCCAAACTTGGTACTCGGCGAGTTTATTTGAGCTTAGGGAACCTGTGCGCACCTTCAGTCAATGGCAGGGACAGCCGGATGCGGGACGTCAAGTCATCCTTTCCTTGGTGGTTTTTTCAATCCACGGTATGTACGAGTAAATATTGGTGTAGATGCCCACGTCCCCTCCCATAAAGTGTCCGACTTCAATTCCTTGGAGCTTGCCTTTACAGATGACAGTAGCCACGGCCACCTCCTGCCAGGGATAGAAAGGGGAGGAGGGAGAACAAAATTAAAATGACGTTTGCTTTCATAGCCTTTCTTTGCAGCTATGGTAATGAACACCAGCAGTATGTTATTAACCAGGGATATAGGATGCACTTTGGTAAATAAAGACCCACTGTGGGAAGACTACCATGGGGGAAAAAATACAGCTATCATTGCAATAACCCTGCCCAATTCTTAAAAATATTTGGAAATTAAAATGTATTATGGTTAAATAATTAACTAGACACTACAAGTAAATGAAACCCGAGCAAAGGCAAAAAGATTACCCCAAAAATTCGGCTGAATACTTTTATGAATTTGACACATAAAGAGTTTCTGTGGCTGCTCCCTTGTTCGGTTGCCTGGCAGTCCTTGTCAGTCATCACGGGGGCCTCCAGGTTCTGTCTTAAGTCGGGGTGCCTGCCTGAGGAAAGAACAGCATCTGGCTCAGCTCAAGGCTTAACCGTCCCTAATCTTCACCTCCTGCACTCCAGAGGATATTATTTTGAGTATGCGTAAAGAGAATAAGGAGAGAAAGGAAAAAGCAAAGACGTGCATTAATGAGAGCTGGCCCTGCCGAGTAGCCTCATTTTACAAACCAAACAGCCAGTGCACAGAGTGGCATTTTACCAATGGGGAGTCATCTTATGTGCTGCGGAATGCGGTGTTCCCTCTACTCTGTATCTACCAATGAGCTGGCTCAGGTTCTCCACCATGGCCCTTGCATGGGAAATGGACGTGGGGAAGTAGGGCCATTGCCTCCTTAACATATCTGCGTCTGTGCCAATAAGGTCTCCATGCAGTCGGAAGGCCCACGGGACCCAGGTGTCACAGAGGAGGTCCCATTGCAACCTTGCAACCGTGGCAATAGCGAAGATTGGACGTGTGCAGATTGCCTTTCCCAGACTACTCCTGTAGCTTCCCCTATTGGTCCCGAGCCATTTTCTACCCCGTCTTATCTCGTAGCTCTGAGGACATTCATGTTCCTTGGGTGAAACAGATGGCTTTATTCGCTGTGGAAGGCACACTTACCAGTGTTTTCTTGGCTCCAGTCCAAACCTGAAAGTGTACAGACGGTGCCTGGCCGGACGTTGGTGGTGGCGATGGGAAGGACCTGAACTTTGTGGTTGAAGATGGCAGGCTTAGCTAGTTTAATAAGCATGAGGTCGTCCTGCGGGGCGCTGTGGCTGTAGTTCCAGTAGCGGATAATCTGAATGGGATGAATTGTCTGCTCTGTCCCATCTCTGACTCTGCTCTTGAAATTTCCCAACATCACCCGCAGATTTCTGGAGAAGAAGGGGTTGGAAGGGACCACTGTTACAATCACCACCACTACCACCGTGGTCAGATCGTCATTGCTCACCGCCATCGTTTGGGACATCAGATGCTACAGTGTGCGAGATACTGTGGCAGGCGCTGTATCTGGGTTTGCTTTCTACTCACAGCAAGTCTATGCGTTAGGTGGTGTGTTAACTCACGTTTTACAAATGAAGTACCGGACACACATAGTGGTAATTTCCACGTGGCCAGAGTAAACAGTGGAACCCTTAACCTGTTTTTTTCATGTAATGCCTTGGAAAGGAAAACAATGGATGTAAACGTTAGCATCATTTGCAGGCCTCATTTAACCATGTGGGTAATCTCTACTTCAGTGGACACACGAGGAGGACATGACAGAGTGTTGGATAGCAAGCCCACAAACGACCCCCGCCCCCTTTGAAGAGCTGTGTCTTAAACCGATCAGCTTTCTCTCTGGCTTCTGGTCAATAGGAAGTTTGGAGGGAGGAGGGTGTTGTTGAAGTGTTCATTTATGTTGTTGAAGTGTTCATTTTCCCGGATCTTCCCCAGGAGCATTGATACATACATACATACATACATACATACATACGTGTGTGTGTGTGTGTGTGTGTGTGTGTGTGTATAGAACCCTTTTGGGGAGGGGATGCTGGAAACTCACGGTAAGTAGCAGTGAGATGGAGCCAGGACCCAGCGGGCATTGATGAGGACACCCACACAGGGGTTGAAGTTAGACTTCAGGTAGGCTAGATAAGGAGCGTGGTCCTCTTTCTGCACGGATGAGTGGCTGAAAAAAGCTGTCCCTGAGGAGACAATGGCATGCCAATGTGAGAGTAGATGAGACCTCCACACCTTGCCAGCAGAAGAGAGATGTGCAAGTCATTTAAAAGGCGTAACCAATTGGCTGGAGACCATTTTCTTTTTTAAATAAAGACGTAAATTTTAAGTGACACACTTTATATAAGACCTAAAGCAATGGTAGTATTGGTAATATTTATTCTAATAGAGGGCACAGCTAGAAAGATACATTTACTGCTTATAAATTGATTTTGTTTTCTTGGAAAGCAAGTCAGAAGTAAGCATCAAGAATTGTAACTTGTTTGTAACTTGTGGACTGAGAATTCTAACAATAGGGATGCACTTTAATAGGGAAGACATAATCAGATGTGAGCAAAGATGATTAATGAGTGTATTCGATTTTACCAATACTTATAATAATCGAAAGCCGGAAGGATAAATATCCAATATGCATTATTTGATAGTGAAATAAACACGCAGGACACATCCAAAATATTATCAGTGACATTTGAGTAACATGTTACAATTCAGTTGCCTAAAAGCAAAACCAAAAATAATCAAACTAAATGCAGAAAATAACTCTGAGTAAATTCGGTATGTGTTGACTGGGAGGTGCAATTATAAATGCTTTTCTTCCCCCCTACCTTTAAAATTTCTAACATGAACACATATTTTTAGCGAAATATTATATAAAAGCGGTGAAATGTTAAAGAGAGGGAAGCCGAGTCTAGTCTTTGTTTTTCAACCCTTACTGATACTTCTGCTGACCCTCCCACATCTGGGCCTAAACCTCACCACACATCTGTGTGCCACACCTAAAACCTTGAAAGCAAAGAGGGCAGTGGTTATCAATAAGGGCAAGAGGCTCTGAGCTCTCTCTGTACTGGGTGCTGGGTTGATTAGCTGGCCCTATCTCAACCCAGCCAGCCTGTGACATGGCCCTGGGCAATTAGGGAGTGGTGGGAAATTCTTCAGTCCAGACTTCATGGAAGCAGGGACTGCAGAAGTAGGGTCCGTAGTATCAAGCCTCTAGCTTCTGCCTTTACCATCCCTGCATTCCAAAGTTACAGGAAGGAAGGGAGATCAGAAGTCAAATGGAATGGATTCTCTCCTCTTGTGACCACGTTAGGGTTTTCCCAGAGCGTAATGAGGCCCATATTTCACAATAGCCCCCCCCGGGGTGGTTACACACATTGTTGAGGGTTCTCTAAAGATGGTATGGGCCATAACCTATCCAATAGCTTAACACTTAGGATGGACTGTCTGTGCTAAGCCTTTGGATAGGGTCTCAGTGGGGAGACCCAATTCTCCTCATAGTAGTGTTTCTAGAAGCTTCTGTGCACCAGCCACACCTCCACTTTACCTCCCCCGTATTCTATGTTAACCCACTCTTTGATGGACAGAGTAGAAAGTCTTAAATACATACCAGCTAGGGTGGCCAAATAAAAAATAAGTTTCATGATGGTCCAGCTCTTTCCTTGTGAAGGTGTAGAAAGAAGATCAGAAGGGACTGGAATTCTCTGCCCAACTGTCTCCTTGGGGATGTCTACCAGACCCGGCAGATACGGCTAGGTAGGGGCACTCGGTGGGATCAGGAAAGAGATGTAGGCATAAGAAGCAGATGAAGATGGCTCCAGGAAGACTGAAGAAGCAGATGATGCTTCTGTTGGGGATTTTCAGGCAGAGTTTAATGGCCCTGAGTCCATGTGCTCCTCTGTGCTACTCTCATAAAAGCTGCCCAGACTATAGTTAGTTCAGCTGTCTGGAAAGAGGAGCTCCGGGCTCAGGACTTATCTTTCTCACAGAGGATCTGAGGACAGAGCTGTGAGGAACTGGATTTTCTCTCTACCTTTCCTCAGGGAGAGCGTGTCTCAAATGGCTTGTTCTGAGCCCTCTAAGGGTCACGTAAGACTTCCCTTAGCCCCTCCCATCTTTGCCTTTGTTACATCTGGTCACTGTTTCATCACTCAGGCATCATCACCAGCTGGAATTTTTTTTTTTTTTTTTTTTGTCTTGATCACCATTGCTGAGCTAAGACAATGGAGAAATGAAAGCTTACATGGAACAGTTAATTATCTTCGCCACTTGGAAAATGGTATATATTCTAGATGATGTCGAATCTAAGACCTGATGTATTGATGACGTTTCAGAAGACAGACCCTTTTAAGTGACTTTTACACAGTGAAACAGGAAATGACTTTTCAACTAACAACGTGACCACGGTCAACTCTAGATACCAGGCAACATGCACTCACAAGAAAAAGAACATTCACCCTCCTGGGTCACATTCCTTGAACACTTTGTGAATCCCACCATACTTAGAGCTAAGTGTCCATCTCCAAGTGCTTTCTTTATAAATTGATAAACTACTTTCATACAATATATCTTGATCATGTTTTTCCCCTCCCCTAGTTCCTCTCAGGTCCTATCCACCCCTACCCACCCAACTTCATATTTTTCTGTCGATTTAAAAAACAAACAAAACCACAAGCAACAAACCAAAAGCAAACAAACAAACAAAAAACACCCAACACAAACTTTCCCCCTCCCCACAAAAATAGAAACAAAAACCATGTCTACAAAATATCACTGAGTTTATTTTTTTCTTGGCCAACTACCCTGGACATGGGACCTACCCCATAAGACTCCATTAGAGAAAACTAATGGTTATCAATTGCACCTGGCTCCTTGCTTAGGGATGAGAACCCATTCCTGCGACCCTGGTCCTGTGTGCTGCGACAGTCTGTGATTTCATATGGACATGAGCTCTGTTGTGTCTAGAAGATGCTGTTTCCTTGGAGTCATCCATCCTCCCTGGATCTTAGATTCTTTCTACCTCTTCCTCTGCAGGGCTGCCTGAGCCTGGAGGGACGGGGCTTAGTGAAAACATCCCCGTTGGGGGTCTCTGGGCTAGCTCAGAGAAGAAGCTTCTCTGATAGTGGCCGAGTGAGGCACTAATCAGGGTGTCAGCCTGGTAAGGCTGGGCGTGTGTGGGGGGGTAGGTCCCTGGTAGAAAACATTGCTTGGGATTGGCAGCTGACACAAAGGGTTGAGGACAGGATAGAAGGGAGCCCGCTGTCTGTTTTGGGGTCAGGGTCCTTCTATATAGCTCAGGTTGGCCTCACATGGGTGATTTCTTTCTGTCTTTGCCTCTCAAGTGCTAGGATGTCCGGTGTGTGTGAGCACCACCCCCCACCAGATCCAGAGCTAAGTTCTTCACTGATTATGCCTTCTCTGTTTTACTGCACAGCTGAAAGTTTCTAATGGGACCATCCTTGCCTATCATATGCCAAATAGACTGTATATGCTCTCACCTAACTGTGGTACATGTACCTTCATATCTTCCTGAGCATTCTTCCTTAGTAACCGTCTGTGTTCTGTCTGCATGCTAAAATACCTTGTCTAATCTTTCTCTGGTTTCGTAGATCTCATCTATCACTCCAGAGTAAATCATGCTTTTTAGTGATAAGCTCGCTCATACTGATTGGACTGCGGATTCTTCCATCATTGGACATGCTTACATCTTCCTGCCTTTTGAAATTGAGTAGACTCGAGGATGGATCTCTTTCTGCATCTCTTCTTAATATGACAAGTATCTTTTTTATTTAAAAATTTTCATTTTTCATACAAACCACAGTTCCCCTTCCTTTTCTCCCACCCGCTTCCCCTTTCCCACCCTCCATCCACTCCTCAGAGGGGTAAGGCCTTCCTTGGGGAGTCTACCAAGTCTGGCATACCAAGTTGAAGCGGGACCAAGCCCCAGCCCCTTGTATCAAGGCTGAACATGGTATCCCACCATAGGGAATGGTCTCCAAACAGCCAGCACCCCCCTCCAACCGCATCAAGACACATAACTGTCTAGTTTGGTCCCATGCAGGTTCCCCAGCTGTTAGTCCATAGTCCACGAACTCCTACTAGTTCAGGTTGGCTGTCTCTGTAGTTTCCCCCATCTCGATCCCCCCTTGTTATTATGATCCCTCCTCCCCTCTTCAATTGAACTCCAGCATCTCATCTCAGTGCTTGGCTGTATCTTACTGTGTCTGCTTCCATCAGTTATGGATGAAGGTTCTATGATGTCAATCAGGGTAATCACTGATGTGATTATAGGGGAGGTCAGTTCAGACACCCTCTCCACTGTTGCTAGAAGTCTTAGCTGGGATCATCCTTGTGGATTCATGAGAGTTTTTCTAGTACCAGGTTTCCCCTAACCCCATAATGGCTTCCTCTATCAAGATGTCTCTTTCATCGTTCTTTCCTGAGGATCTGCCTTTTAGAACTTACTGTTAGAAAACGGGATCTGGAAGAACACCACTAAGGAGAAGGATTCCAGAAAAGGGACGGAAAGCACTTCAGAAACACTCTTTACCTAGAATTTGTTTAGGAAGATATAAGACACATCTTCCCCAATAGTCTTTATTTTATGTTAGCTACAAGGCAGAGAATTGTCTGTCGTAAGTCAAATTTTCAAAACCTTGAAGTTACTTCAGAAAAGGAGAGCAAGGCGACGAAGTTAGTGTGTGTGTGATATATATCAAGGGATGGATCAACAGGTGTGTGCTGGCGATGAAGGGTACGACTAAAAGGCGTGTGGAGGAAGGAAGACATGGTTGAGAGATGTGAGATAGAACGGAGGATGTGGTTGGTTGAGAGACATGTAATGGCAATGACAGGTATTGATTAAGAGGAGTTAGGTGGCTCATCTTGATTGTCAACTGGGAAGAGGGAACTTCAATTAAAGAGGCACCCCCATCAGACTGGCCTGTGGGCATTTTGTTAATTGCTAATTGATGTAGGTTGGTCCAGTTCACTGCTAGGGATGGGGGCCATGGAGTGGGATGCTCACCTTAGGCAGGTGGGCCTAGGTTGCATTAAAAAAAGTAGCTAAGCAAGCCAGAGGGCAGTTCCCCCATGGTGTCTTCTTTAGTTCCTGCTGCCAAGTTCCTGCCGTGAGCTCCTGTCTTGGATTCCATCGGTGATGAATTGTAAGCTGGAAATGAAAACAAACTCCTTCTTCCCCAAGATGCTTACGGTGATGATGCTTATCACGTGGAAAGAACTATAGGGTAATCTCTCAAGAGGAAAATCCGAGTGACTCATGCCCCGATAAACTAATAAAAACTGAGGTATGTGTTCTTTGGTAATTGCTTTGACTCCTTACAAAGTTTTCAGAGTGAAGAAATAATTGGTCCCTTGGGAGTCACCTGCAGGAAAACTTCTCAGTGTTTGAAAATATTCTTCTAATTCAATGGTTCCTCCTCTTTTCTTCTGAAAATGATAGGGTTCATCGTTTTTCACAAGTGAATAGTATTACCATGTTTTCACAATCCATCCACCAACGATAAGCATCTAATCTACATCTTAGCGACAGACTCACGCATGAAGGTACCTTTGTGGTGTTCTGATTTCATTCATTCATTCATTCATTTTTTTTTTTTTTTTATAGCACAAATTTGTATGTTGTTGAATCGCATAGCAGCCATATTAATACGTTTTGAGGAACTTGCTCTCCTCTATGTTGACAATTCTAACTTACACTTCCATCGCAATGTGTAAAAAAATTCCCTTTCTGCTAGTGTTTGTTGCAGGGACCTGAATGAGGGGAGGGAGGGAACTCACGAGGACCCACTGGCGTTTTCTGGTGCATTCCTCTTTCCCCAGGACTGTGGAGAAAATGGACTGTCACTGTTGAGTTGATGCGGCATTCCCCAAGTTGCACGGTAAGACCGTGCTGGGTTGGATGTAGGGGCACAGAGGCCATTTGAGGTCCCATCTCCCATGGAAAGTAGAGCTTGAGACCCCGGGGACATAGCAGATGCTGTCTTCTCTCCACAGTTAACTTTCTCGCCTTCCGGTCCAGGTGGACACTTCGTAGGACAGATGGCAACTGAAGATTAAGGTTTGATGCCTGTCACTCCTTCTGGACTCTTCCTTGCTTGTTTGTAGGAAACACGTTCACTGAGGTAAGAGGTGAGGGTACCTTCCATCCATGACAACAAAAAACGGGCAAGGGGGTAAGCTGCTCCGGGAAGCAAGCCCCGGAGTTGGGGGAAATGCAGCGCTTCAGTCCAGAAGGGGCCGTGTCTCCCAGCAGTGTTCTCTGTGGATTCCACTCTCCCCTGCCACACTCTGTAACTGACGCACACGGAAAGGCAAAAATGAACATCATGCAAATGGAGCCTGTGTTTGGAGGGAGCAAAGGATGATACAAGGAGCCCCGTCTCTGTGGGACTGCCCAGGAGTACTTAGGATCACTGAAATGCCGTAGGAGTTTGTAAGAGGGGACAGTGCCAGAGCAGAGGTGTCATAAGTTAGCAGACTGTGGTCAGGGAAGCAGTGTGATTGATGGCTGGTCACAGCAGAATGTAGAGGGTTTCTAGCACACTGAGAGACAAAGGTGCACGTTACCCTGGGTATGTGTCCCTGCTTATGGAGCGTATGGTGTGGTATTGATGATTAGCACTCATCCATGTGAACTTGCTCACTTCTAATATATATATATATATTATATATATATATTCTCACATATGTCCTTATATAAGAACTCATACGTATGTTATCCCTTGAACATTTAAGAACAACTTTGGACAGAAATAATAGCCGTGTTGTGGATTACGGAATGTAAGGGAGATGTTTCTTGAACCTGGTAATGTCTTCAACGCTTCTGAGGTGAGAAGCATTGTCCTCCTTCTGTCTCTCCATTGCTGTCTAGATTTCACAAGGAAAAAGGACTCAGAGCTAAATGCCGGGGAATTACACCAGTGCCACTGAATTTTATCTTGTTGGTTTCCCTGGCTCTAAAAAACTACACCTCATCCTTTTCGCTACCTTCTGCTTCTTCTACTTTAGTGTCTTTAGTGGGCAACACAGTCATCATCGTAATCGTCTGTGCTGACAAACGTCTTAAGTCGTCCATGTATTTCTTCCTTGCTCACCTCTCCATTCTTGAGATCCTGCTCACAACCATTATTGTTCCCGTGATGCTGTGGGGGCTGCTGCTCCCTGGGATGCAGGCGGTATCTCTGGCTGGATGTGTTACACAACTCTTTCTGCAACTTTCCCTGGGGACCACAGAGTTTTCATTGCTGGGAGTGATGGCTGTGGATCGTTATGAGGCTGTTTGCAACCCTTTGAGATACATTTGCAACCCTTTGAGATACAATGTCATCATGAACAGTCATACCTGTAACTCTGAGGTAATTGTATCTTGGGTGTTTGGATCCTTTATCAAATCTGGCCCGTTTATGCTACATTTCACCTTACCTACTGCAAATCAAATGTTGTGGACATTTTCTTCTGTGACAGGGGGCAGTTGCTCAGATTACCCTGCGATAATACTATTTTCATAGAGTTTGTCCTCTTTGTAATGGCTGTTTTTGTTCTTTTTGGTTCTCTGATCCCCACAATGGTCTCCTACACCTACATCATCTCCACCATCCTCAAGATCCCCTCAGCCTCTGGCCGGAGGAAAGCCTTCTCCACCTGTGCTTCCCACTTCACCTTTGTTATCATTGGTTACGGCAGCTGCTTGTTCCTCTATGTGAAACCCAAGCAAACGCAGGCGCTAAGTACACAGGGTGGTTTCTCTGATGATTTCCATCATAACTCCTTTCCTCAACCCTCCGTAATGACAAAGTCATAGAAGCCCTTCGGGATGGCGTGAAACGCTGCTACCAGTTATTCAAGAGCTAGTCTTGCCCCGAGGCATTTACAGGAGCAAACACATACTAAGATTGCTGGGATAATATGAGAAGAACATCTCTGAGCTGTATCATAATCACTATCATCTTCAAGTCATCTGGATTCAGAGACGTCAAGTTGTGACTGTAGTTTTTTTTTCTTTTTATCATATTCTTTCCCTCCCAGATACCCCTTCCCTACCCATTCAACTTCATGTTCTTTTTCTCTCTTTAAAACAAATCTCCAAGCTGAAAACCCATTAAAAGCCACCGAGTCATATTTGTGTTGATCATCTTCTCCTGAGGATGGAGCCTGGTGTGGAGTATGGTTGGTACACCAAGTGTCACTCCATTGAAGAGAATCAATTTTCGCTCTTTAGCCTCTTTAGGGATATCAATTGCAAGCAGCTTCCCTGAGGTTTTTGCTTACTTCCCCTTCTTCCCGCTGGTTCCCTGCTCCCTTTCTGGCTTGAACTTGTATAGGTCTTACGAATACTGAGAGTTCATCTGTGTATCTGCCCTGATTTTGATGGGACGTTTTATAGCCACTGTCACTGTATGCAACAGGGCACAGTAAAGAAATTGTTGAGATGATTGTTTCTTTTTTTAATTTTTTTAAAAGAATTATAAATAAGAGAAAATATCCAGAGGCATCTTGAAGAGTAAAGAGCTGCAGTGATATATTATTTATTATTTACTAAAGCTTGCCTGAGGATTCAGAAAGGAACGCCAGCCTCAAGCTATAGAGATCAGGCAGTGGTGATACACACCTTTAGTCCCAGCAGCCAGAAGCTAGGAGGTTAAGATCCTAGGACTCAGAATTAAGAGGTAGACGGATCTCTGCGAGTCCAAGGCCACACAAGATTGATCCAGCCCTAAAGAGAAACAGCTCACAAAGATGATATCATACACCTTTAATCCCAGCGCTGGAGGGGAATAAAATAAAGGATCAGGGTCTTCAGTAGTCAGTATCAGGCAATCATTCTCCAGCCACATTGAAGAAGGAGGGATTCCTTCTACAGCCACATTGAGGACAGGAAGACAATGGTCTCAGGATTCTCCAGCTACTCGGCAGAGAAGCTTCAGTCTGAGGTTTGGTGGGGCCGGGATCACACATCAGTCTGAGGTAGAGTAAGAGCTAGTGCCCAGCTGCTTTGCTTTTCTGATCTTCAGCTTGAAGCTTGAACCCCAACATTAGTCTCTGCGTCTTTTATTTACCATGCAACACAGAGCAGAGAGAAAAGCAAATGACTGGACATGAACTGCAGAGATGGCAAGAGGTAGAGGACAGAGCATAGCAAGAGAATCGTGGAGACGGCAAGGGAGTGAGCAGATAGCCTAAGAGAGGGACTGTTCGGGGTGGACAAGTCCTGTGCATTATGAGGAGGCTAGCATGGACTTTGAAAGGTACAAGTTCATGTGAATAGAGACCGAGGGAGCCTGAAGGCCAGCATGGGCTCTATAAGGGACCACAGGTTGGCCATTTGTCCCTTCTGCAAGAGGTAGAGAGAAACGACTTCTCTTGGCAAATGGGAATCAGTTTTACAAGTCCCCCAGGGATGCTGGCTTTTATCTAACACCAGAAGTCCCCCCATAGTCTAGCCTGAGCTCATTCCTAGACATATAGACTACCTGAGACCTAGCAATCGCCTCTCTAATTGGAAACCTTTCTTGAGGTGTTACAGGGAGACCTGGGTAAGGAGGTATTTATTCCCTTACACTATCACGCAGATCTTACTCTGCCCCCAAGGAACGGTGTCCTGCTGCTTGGAATGAGAAGGGAGGCTGGGCTTCCCATGGCCGTGGACTGAGGGCCGCAGTGCATGCAGCGAGAGAAGGGGCAACCTTTGTTCCTCTCTGGGATTCTCAGTCTCCAACCTTTCCCAGGTCCAGAGTTCGCCCTTTGCTTTTGTCCTGTTCATTTGTTCATCCGTTCCTGCAGCCCTTCCCCAGCCATCTCCTGTTCCTCTCGGGGCTACCCTGGTTTTACAGTGTCCTTCTGGACCCCTATTTTCCCTCGCTACAAAGTAACAAAACAGAGCTTCCCACGAGCATTGTCCACTTTTCTTCAGTTGGTGTTCCCAGTTCCCAGCCTTGCCAACCTTCTCTCTTTCCCGCCACCCCACCCTATCTCTAATCATGGCTACTTTGTAAAGTAACCCAGTGAAGCATTTTTAAAACCACACGTTGATGCTGTGTGGGGTATCCGTGGGGAACTAGTTAAACAACATTTCTTCCACTCAGCGGAACTTTATGAAGCTGACAGAACAGTGATGTTCTTCCTGTAATGATTAGAAACGTCACACACACACACACACACACACACACACACACACACACACACTCATTAAATTGTAGAGATTTTGGGTCTGGTTAATTTTGTGTGTGATGTTTGTATTTATATATAATTTTTATGTAAAATTTACTAAAAAATGATAAAACAAGGAAGTTGTAGCTTATTGGCAGATGATAGCTCAGTATGTACAAAATCCTGGTTTTTTCCTTCAGCATGGCATAAAAATATAATTATGGAGCTATTTCTAGATCATAACATAGAAGCTGAAGGCTCATCATGATTAAGAGAATTAGGTGTGTGGAAATGGCCCCATCCTTTCCTTAAGTCTCTAATGGAAAAGTGTGGTATGTACACAGAAGATGCTTCTAATTCTTCATCAGATGATGGAGAATGGTAATCGAACACAAATCAAAATAACTATGGGAAACATAAAGCAAAGTAGATTGATAGATAACAGCATATGTTGGCAAGGATGTGAAAATATTAGGGTCCATATATATTACTGATGGGAAGGTATGATTGTTCAATAGCTTTTGAAGAATGAGAGGCTACCTTGAATGCCCTTCCCCAATAATGAGATTGATGACTACCTCACCTGCCATCCTAGAGCCTTCATCCAGTAGCTGATGGAAGCAGAAGCAGACACCCACAGCTAAGCACTGAGAGGAACTCCTGGAATCCAGTTGTAGAGAGGGAGGAGTGATGAGCAAAGGGGTCAAGACCAGGGTTGAGATCTGAACTGATCTGAACAAGAAGGAGCTCAAGGACCCTAGTCTGATAGCTGGGAAACCAGCATAGGACTGACCCAGATTCCCTGAATGTGGTGTCAGTTAGGAGGACTGGGCAGTCTATGGGGCCTCTGGTAGTGGATCAGTATTTATCCCTAGTATACGAATGGGAGCCCATTCCACATAGAGGGATATTCCCTCAGCCTAGACACACGGGGAAGGCCCTAAGCCCTGCTCCAAATGATGTTACAGATTTGAAGACTCCTAATGGAAGGGTTCCACCTACCTGGGGAGCAGAACGGGGATGGGGGTTGGTAGGGGGGCAGGAGAGGATGGGAGGGTGCGGGAACTGGGAATGACATATAAAACAAGCTTGTTTTAAATTTAAATACAAAATTATAAAAAAAAAGATGAAATTCCTTTAAACAATGTATCATATAACTACATGAACAAGCAATCACACTCCTAGGTATATACTTGCGAAGTGTATGTTTGTAATAGTTATGGTAGTTGACAAATGGAAAAGCTTAGATATCATTCAGCTGATACAGGAATAAACAAATTTGTCATCCATAGAATAAAATACAGGTTGTGCTAACAAGCTTTGCACCGCTGCTACAAATACCCGAGATAAATAACTTATCAAACGTTTTGGAGGTTTCAGTCCATAATCAGTTGTCCTCACTGTTATTGGCTCTTTGGAGAGGCCACACATCAAGTTAGAAGCAGGCAATGGAGGAAAACCACCCCTGGCTTGAAAGCAAAAGAGAGAGGAAGAAAGGGCTGAGGGTTGTAAACGCCCTATAGAGGGAGCACTCTCAGGGCCGTAAATACATCCCAAGAGTCTTTAAAGGCTTCAGAACCTCTTCAAGGTTCTACCACCTCCCAATATCACAATCCTAGGGAATGAGCCCTTGACCCAGCCACATGGGCGACATTCCAGATCCAGACTAGAGCACCGTTATATGCTGAAATACGTGGGTGAACATTGAAAACCTTATTCTAAGTGGAGGAAGCCAGGAAGAAAAGGCCATATATTGTATGATGCTCTTCATGTGAAACCCACAGTAAGGAGGCTTATAGAGGCAGGCTCCAAAGAGCTCTCTGTAGCGAGAGCTAGTGCGTACAGGGTTTCTTCCTAAGGCGATGAATGCAAACTACTGAGAAAGTACCAAATCTATTGAGCGGTACATTTCAAATGAGTAAATCTTTTGACAATCTACTTACATCCCCATAAAGCTGTAAAAACTATAGACATGCCGTGTCAGATGTCAAAGATGTGTGTAGGGAAAAGCATATTAGGAGCACAGTCAAAACTCCTACCCAAACAGTTTACCAAATCCACTAAAACAAACAAACAAACAAACAAACCCTATCACCGGTCCCCAACAAAGGCCACATTTGTCTGCCCTGTGAGCCCCTTCTCCAGTAATTGACACAACACCCACAGAGTCCCTGAAGAGACTCTTTCTCATGGCAGCCCCTTCCTAAGCTTCTTTAAGAACCTGTGCAGGAGTAACTCCTTGTCTTGCGGGAAATTCAGACTTCAACCACAGAAATCACTAGATGTCCTCATTTCCTGGCCTCAATAGTCTGCAACTGTTCTGTCATAAGACAGGAAGTGTGGCAATGGAAGTTCTCTTTTCTCAAAAAGGATCAAGATTTTTTTCCTGCTGTCTGGGCCCTGGGGCTTACCTTGAGCTAGTCCAGTTGAGTCTTCTCTCTACCATAGACTCAGCCCCCTTCCTGCTCTGTGACATTCATGTATTAAGCCCATCAGAGAACTTGTAGCTCCACAGGGCACAAACATAATCCCAGCATCCACCTGAATCCTTTGGATGGCCTTCTTCAAGGGGGTTTTAATAGCTGGCATATTATCTCACTAAAATTAGAAATCTATCAGCACACTAGCAACATTGAAACCTAGAAACTAGAGAATTAACAGTATTGTAATAATAGAATTGACAATTTATTTTGACCAGTGGCACATGGACATATCATTATTAGGTGCAAATGCTGAGTTAATTGTTGGGTGTCTTCATTTTCTTTAGTGTGCTACAGGCTTCTGGTTACTCAGCCAATGCATCCCTTTTCTCTGACGACTTCAGGCACCTATGCGGCTGCTACCCATCTTCCCTTTCTTTCGTTGCTGTCACGCGGACTCCCTGCTTCGTCTCCCATAACTCCCATTTGTCCCCATTTTGCTCTCCCTTCCGTAATGAGATATATATGTCATATTAGAATTTTATGTCAAACCAAGAAAAATTTTAGCTTCCGTGTTTTTCAATCACCCTCCTCTCCTGCCCACCATCTTTTCTTTCCTTCCCTTTCCCCTCTCCTCTCCATTTCTCTTCTTTCCCCCTTCCCTTCCCCTCCTTTCTTTCTGTCCTATGCAAAATCTCCTTCACTCCCACAGTGTTCTTTCAGCTCCAAGCTGGGCTGTAGCGGTCCTCTCAAGAGCCTTGGTCTCAGTGCAGATGGAGGAAGGCATTTGCTCCCGTAGCTTCTAGTGGGGGATATAGGAACGGACATCTTTGGGCAATAGAGGAGGCCATGGAGCTGGGTTTATCTTCTACCCACACTGCCGTCGAACGGTGCTCATCTCCTATTCCTTTTGCAGTCTCTTCTCGATAGTATGGCTGTGTGCTCTAAGGATGAAATAGATTCTGCCTGCAGGCAAAGCCCCAGTGATGAGTCAAAATGCTCAACCCTACAGACACAGATTTCATTTCTATATCAATTTCTTCTCTAGAAAACTGGCCCCGTCTTCTGGGGCTGACTAGATTCCAGTCCCCTCTCACAGGAAGTGTGGTCTTGGGGATTGTCTGGAGTAGGACAGGAGTTCTCCTGTTGTGTGACGATGTTTGTGAAAGGAAATGACATACTGGCCCTGAGGGTTTACTGGGGAGCTCCACCAGCAACCCATGGAAGATGACCAAAGTCTTTGATGTACGCTATTTTCTGAACTGGTTTCAATTGTAACTAATCTGTTTTGCTGCCTCTGTAGACACATATTTGCTCTTGTTGTAGAGACCCATGATCATTTGGGGGTCTTCTCACAGATCCATCGATAGCTGATGTCACAGGATGCAGCATCAAATGTCTTTGTCAGGCCTATGGTGACGCAATGGAAGTTCTGACTCTCATTCGTGACACTAAGTGAAAAGAGAAAGCAAGGTCAAGGCTCTTGGTTCCAGTTTTTGTTAGCGAGATGAGGGTTACGTGGGAGCTGCACCTGAGGAGATGCAGCCTCATGCAACCCCATACCCTCCTCCCCGGTGCTGGGTCTTTCTTCCCAACTTTGACCTCTTCTTCTCAATACACCTTCTCCAGTCCAGCCCTGTACCCACGTCTTCCTCTCAACTCTCCTGTGCAGATTCCAAGAATCTAGGTCTAACTCCTTCATGTATTTTGAGGGCACTGTCATACCCCACCAGAATCATATTTCAATACTGATTGCATGTTTATAACAGGAAGGCCCAAGGAGGCAAGCAGTTGGCTTTCTCCTACGTCCTTTCTGTCATTCAGACACTTTTGGTCTGACTACAGAGTCTCAATTCATGAAAAATTTGCATGACATTTGGTCTCAATGGGATTGTGGAATCAAATTGTAGTTCTACCCTGTTGGTATGTGAAATCCAATACATCTCTAACCTTTCTCACACCTAATTCAACTACTTGGGAGGAATGAAAGTTTTCTCTGTGGCATCCCGGTGAATACAGGGAAATAATCCATGCATGTACCTAGCACAGCATAGTCCGTAGTGTTTAGGAGGCAGTGAGTATATATTAATTCCCCTCCTCACCCAAGGAAATCCAGCTTCATGATGGGACCTAGTTTGCTCCTTGTCTGACTCAGAATATGAAAACTGGAAATATTAAAGCCTCCTCCAAAGGTTGATGTCGTGGATTGATGTCCTGAAGATAGCGCTTGAGAGTTAGTTACAGATCAACTTTAAGGTACAGATATGATATTGGTATATGATAAACTTTCTTTAAATAAAGGAATAATAGCTGAAGAAATGATATGACGTTTAGTTTAAGGACCTATGAAAGAAATATCATATGTGGTGCAGCAAAAGCTACGTGTGTGGGTTGGTTTGGAGGAGGCAATTTAGTATATAAATAATGTTCTCTCTTCTACCTTTATTACATGTAAATGTTTGATATTTCCTACAATAAAAAAGGTTAAACAGACAAAAAATGGTTTGGAAGCTACCAGAAAAGCAGAACAGAGTCCAGGCCTTTGGTCTGTCTCAGAGTGACTCTCAGTTTTAGTGTTTTTATGCAAAATTCCCTAGGGAAGTGCAGGGTGTTCACATACTTGCCACTGAACGCAGAATTGTTGATCCAGCGCCAATGCCTTTCTCGAGACTGACGTCTCAAACCAACGAAGTACTTCTCAGCATCAGCTATGTCCTGAAGATACTTCTGGAAGTTAAGAAAGAAGCAGCTCATCAGTGGGTTCTTGGGTGCTGAGCTGGTGGTCAATGCTTGCCCTGGTCCAAGGGTTCTAGCCTCCTGGGGATTAGACCCTGGTCCTCGCCATCAATCCTAGAGAAGCTCTGAAACTTGGTGGGAAGTAAGGTCACCTGGATATCGGGACCAAACACAGGCTGCTTGGCCTCTGGTTCAGAAGATCTAATGTAGATGAAGGAGAATTTCCATTACTGATAAACACCATGGAGATGTCAGTACTGGCCTCGTGGGTCAACCCAGAAGGGACGGGGGAGGAAGGCACACACACATTTTATATGTGGCATGTCTCTCCTCGTAGGATTTTCAAAATTCCAGGAAATTTCACATTCCCAGTTAAGTTTAACCAAGTGAAAAAATATGTTGAGAGTTATCAGCAAAGCATCAATGTTGTGATCTTTTTCTGTGGTCAATATGCAGTAGAAGCTAGGGAGAGTAACAGTGAAAATCGGATGCTCCGAAACTTCAACGGGGAATAGAGGAAAGGGAGGGATGAATTTCTCCTCATTCTCCTCTCCACTCCATCCTCTGCTCTCTTTCGTTCCCAGTTTTCTACCTGAGAGCATCTTGCTTTCCACTTGGGTGCCTCACCCTAGAGACTTTGTGGGATCCTGACCTCTGACCTTGGTCATTTGTTCAGGAATGGCCCTTTAGAAAATTCTGTCCCGTCACAGGGTGGTTTGGGGGAGGAAAACATGAACAGTGTATAGCATAGCACCTAGCACCCAACCAAGGCTAATCTGAAGGAGAGGCAACTAACTAAATAATAATAAATAATGAATAGCTAAGTAAGGTAAGTATGATTTAAGAATTGATGAATTCAATGTTCCATTGTTTAAGTATATGATCTTGGTCAAATCATTTTTATTTTGCCTGAGGAGCTGTATCAGCTGGTTAAGAATTTGCTGTGTAAGTGCGACTAATTGAGGTCAGATTTCCCCACAACTCCTGAGAATGATGCTGTAGTGATCATCTGTATTACCAGCACGCATATGGCAAGGTGAAAGGCACAAAAAGGAGGAACTCTCTGGAAGGGCGGGGGAGGGGAGCAGCTAACCTAGCTGTGTACTGGTGAATAACAAGGTAGGTACCTTCTCTCCAACAAGTTGGAAGGTGAGGTCATGCTCTGAATTTTACATGCCTTTGGTGGCACATGTACCCACATACACACACACACACACACACACACACACACACACACACACACACACACGACACATTACTTTCGTTTGCTCTAATTTCCTCATTGCATATGTATAAAATATGCATAATAATATGTCTCATGGCCGTCACAAGGTGAAGGGATACAGTAAACAAAGCTGCTACATTGTATTAGTCTACTCTTACCATCACAAAGATAAACTGCAAACTCTTACCTGATTCTTCCTTCATTTTTCACATTACTAATTATATTAACGTATTTTTTTCTTATGCACACGGAGATGCTACATTAATAACTTAAGTAATTCATATCTCCCTCCTTTATTATATACATTAACATCTCACAAAGTATTCTGCAATATTTCAGTAATTTACATTCTTATTACATTTAACATTCATCCTCTCATTTTTGTGTCTGTGTGTTTTTGTGAGCTTATGGGTACGTATGAGCATATGTGGCTCGTTTGGAGTTAGAGGACAACCTCTGGGAGCTTCTGGAACCATGTGGGTCCCAGGGATTGAACTCAGGTCATCAGGCTTTAACCGCATGCGACTTTACCCAGTGAGTGATCTCCCTGGCCCTTAAGCCACTCTTACGTGCATTACGTCTTTGGTTAGTCCTTGCGCTTTAAACGTCCTAGTTTATGGGGAAGGCAGCAGAATCTGGATTTCTAGTTTAGATGAAAAAGAAGAACCTCCCAATTCTCAGGTTTGGAACGAGGACTGTGAGCGCCTACCTAGGCAGGTCTCTACTGTCTCTACTTCTCACCACCATCCGGTCCCGCTTCCCATTTCCCCTTAGGCTGCACCAACGGCGGCCGGCACAGTGCAGACAACTCCATCACACCACCCCAACGCTTTTACCAGTTTCTCTGCTGTGTCGACAATTGCCAGTGTGGATCCTCTTGCTACACAGTCATCCCTGCCGTTTTCCCAGGATGATTCGGACGTGGAGAAGAAGAAGCAATCCCCTTGATGAAAATCCCAGTCTGTGGGACAGGCTGCAGAGATCGCGGGAGGAAGGAGGAAAAGAGGCGGTGACAGATGGGTGCGGGCCATTAGTGGTCTGGAGAGGGAGCCCCGGAGCTGACTCATAAAATGATGGCACACACGTTTCTTTGTAACTACTGATATAAATTATCTCCAATTCAGGAGGAAATTCCATCACGCTAGTCTGTCTTCTGCCCCTGACGTAAAGGGAATGAACATGAGCTCTTCATAATCCCTTGAGCCAAAGTCCCACAAGAAAGGGGAAAGTCCCTAATAATCTAGCTCAGGTAGCCCAGGCTGGCCTTGAACTCCTGATCCTCCCGACTGTTCTTCCGTCTGCAAATCCTACCAGCATGAGCCTCCACCGAGTACCAGGACAGCCAGGGCTACACAGAGAAATCCTGTTTCAAACAGCAACAACAAAGCAAAAAGGAATCCACCTCCTGAGTACCAAGGGTGTGGGAGGAAGCAGGGACCATGTTCTGTACCTGTTCCATAGCTCCTTGTAGGCATGATGCCTTCATTATTCCCCGCAAAGATCTGTGAGACTGAAATGAAAGAAAGCCCGGTGGTTAGTATACGAGGAACACAGCGGTCATCAGGGTGTGGGCTGTTGAGCTCTGCCTCTTTGTTTCTGAGCATCCCTGATGTTCTAGATGATTGGAAAGGAAAACCATCTTCCTTGATGAACATCCCAGTTTGGGGCAGGCGGAAGAGATTTGGGAAGGGATGGTATGGAAAGGAGGGAGGGATGGATGGAAGGAGGGCCTGAAACCCTGAACTAAAATTGTCTTAAACTCTTCTTTGTTTGAAACTTCCATCTAAGTATCGCCATGCTCCATCATGCTTGGCACTCAAGCCCTACCCTATCCGCCGCTTCTCCGTATTACGGTAGTAGATGTTAAATGTTTAGGAGACAAGGAAAGACAAGGAATAGAGGAGGCTATCGCAGGGAGGTTCATGCTACTTCCTTATATACGCGTTTGGCATCGTTATCCCCGGAGAGCTGTTGAGGCACTTTTACTCAGGCTCCATTCAGCGTTTGTGCTGTTCCCTTTATTTCTGGTGTCCGGAACCTCTGTAAGAAGCAGCTTTGGGATGTTTTTCTCATTAGGATTTCCTCAGCTCTAAGGGTCGTGACTCAGTACAGCAAGACCCAGGGTTCGGGGAGTTATAGGCGATAAGGGAGTAGGTAACCTCCTAGAGATTTCTCTAAGCACAGGACTTTACTTTTTAAAATACAAAATGTGGGGATTGATGGGCCCCCACAGGATCATTTTTCCTGGGCGCACCGACTGAGCAGATAGTCACAGTGGCTCCATAGGCTGCTGAAACCTCCACGGTTAAAACTACTTTCACTTCTCCAGATGCAAAGTAGGCGCTTGAAATAATATTGATGAAACAGACACAATCTTTCACCTTTTAATACACTCCCTACCCCAGAGATTTTGTAATACTATAAGAGACTGCTTTATTTGAATCAGGAATGATACTTTTTGGGTCTAAAGACGTCACTAGTAACCCGTGTCTTAAAGGGCAGTGACAGAGCTCTTACAGAAAGCTGCAAGGAGAGTGGCCTTGGAGCTGGAGAGCGGGCACAGTGCCCAGCACCCACAAGCTGGCACACACTGCCTGTCACTCCAGTTCCAGGGATGCGGTGCCCTTTTCTGGCCTCCATTTCCGCCACATGCCCGTGGCGTAGCTATCTACATGGAGGCAAAGACATTCGTATACATAAAGATTAACAAATCTTTAAAAAGCGAGAGGTGGGATTAGAAGCATCATGTCCTCTGTGTATGAAACATCTGGGATTGAGCTTTTCGTTTTTATACGTGAGGCTTGATTACTTATGATTCTATTCTTCGCCTACAGTTGTTCTAACGTACTGTTTGGCACACAAAAAGATGCCACTTCCTTCCTTCCTTTCTTTTTTTTTTTTTTTTTTTGTGGGGCATCAATTCTTGTGTGTGTGTGTGTGTGTGTGTGTGTGTGTGTGTGTGTGAGAGAGAGAGAGAGAGAGAGAGAGAGAGAGAGTATATACTTGTGAGTGCCTTTGTGAGGAGGTCAGAGATTGGCATTGGGTGCCTTCTTCAAACGTTGTCCGCCTCGTTTATTAAGACAGGGTCTCTTTCTGAACCTGCACTTTACTAGTCCAGCTAGAATGGCTGGACAAGTAGCACCAGGGAGCCACTCATCTCTGCCTCATCCACCGGACTCGGGGTTACAGACTTAACTGCAACATGTGGCTTCCACATGGAGACCCGAGCTCAGGTTCTCACACTTGAGGAACTGACACTTTCCCAGCCGAACCACCTCTCCTAATGCTAAAGTTTGGTTTCTTTCCTTTCTTTTGGCTTTTCAGGGGTCTCTCAGTGCAGTTCTTGCTGTCCTGGAACTCGTTTCTGTGGACCAGGCTGGTCTAGAACTCAGAGATCCGCCTGCCTCTGCCCCTGAGTGGTGGGATTAAAGGTGTGCGCCACCACACCTGTCTAGAATTTGGTTTCTTTGTAACCATGCTTGCAAGAATCTATGGAACACACCCTCAGCACATTATAGTAGTCCCACACAAGTGATCCTCAAGCCAAGGAGGAAAACTGATGACCACGTATTTCATGCAGGGTGTGGCTCAATGCTTTTACTGAACAAGGTCCTGGGTTTGATCCCTAGTACTGGAAAATCAGTATAGATGAGTTTGCCGTTCGTTTTCCCCCTTGCAAAGGAGAAAAAAAAGACCGCCCTGGAGCATTTGTTTACAAGTTTCTAGAATTCAGCTTGGGAGTTAGGGAGATTACCATTCTGCACATTAGTGGTCCCGTAGCTCTCCGTGGGGATGAAGCCATCATTACTTTCGTAAAAAACCTGTGGGACTGCAAAGAAAATCAGCTAGTGGCTCAGCCTTAGTGTGGCTGCAGATGGGGATGGCAAAGGAACCACAGGGAAGCCAGAGAGCTGTGACCAGAGCAGGAAGCACTGAGCTCTCGGCTTCATGGAGGACTGTATACATTTTCATCTGTCTCCACTTACCTACTGTGCATCTTCTCTGCTCTGTGACAGTTATTGCCCGTTAAAACTGGGTCACAAGGAAGACGCCTCTTACCCAACTGCAGCCATTTACTCACACTCTTTCCCCCTAAATTATTTTTTTTCCTTATGGCTTTTCAGAGCTAAATCTTTGCTTACGAAGCTTCTTTTACTAATGAATGTATTGAGAAGAATCTGTGTATACACACGTGCACACACACACACACACACACACACACACACACACACACACAACTCAGTTAAACCTTGATCTTATAGCTAGCTCTTCATACAGCCTTGGGATTGGGTTGAACTGGAACAGAATTTTCGGTTTTTAAATCGTAGCAACGATAAAAGGGCACGTTAAATATTCTAGCTTCACGTAAGGGCTCTACCCTTTTCACACCGCCAGTTATGCATCCATTGAAGACCACTACCCCCCCTCAACCCCCCCCCCCGTATCTGACTGAGTGTGGAGGGACAGCGTGGAAGAACCTGGGCACCGAGTAGAGTAAAACAATAAGGAACACTTATTGCAAAAATACTCACAGTACAGCAGAAATAGGGTCATCCCAACAGCTTTGATCACTACTATAATAAGCCCCGAGATGATCATGCTCCGGTCCATGATGATGGGGATTCAGGGACCCTGTGAGAGGGGCCAGAGCATCATCAGCAGTGTGGGGATGAAGCTGCTCTCTCCCCAGTACAGCCTTCTCTCTTGCTTGGAGTACTCAAGGAAGGCTGGTATGCTAGTGCCAGGGGAAAGGAGGGGACCCAGACACGCCCAGAACACTTGATAGGAAGCTTAGCAGGCTCTCGCTCCTTTATGTATACTTTAGCATTAATTAGGTCTGAACCTCATATCCATTTGTGGTGTCATAAGCCCCGTCCCCTGTGTAAATCTCCTGTGATCCAACAATGGTTAGTCTTAAAATAACCCTTGCTTACAAGCTTGTAGTCTTGTCAATGCTGATCTCGCTTATAGAAGCCTTAGTCTCCTATGTGTCGGCGGTATGTTATCGATGAACAGAGGGCAGAGAGGCAGACAGGCAGACAGACAGGCAGAATTAGCTGACCTCTCTCCGGAAGTCTGGGCTGGCATGCGGAGGATAGGCGAATACTCGCGTGGTGAGCAGGTCTCCTGCTCGCTCAGTGGGCACGGTCCCTGTTCGCAGAGTCACTGTCCTACCCGCACCGTCAAGCGTCTGCTTCCTGTTCAGCGCTCTTGGCAAAGGAGCAGGCAGGGCGAGGAGGGGAACCTCTAGCTCTGTGGGAAGAAGGTTCCTGTCAGGAAATATTTCTAGAAGGATGTGAAAAGCCACACGCCTCAGCACAGACTTCCCCTTCATCAGTTAACTTTCTATTGCTCTTAGGACGAGGCTTGGGTCCTTGGTGTAATATATAAATCTTGTGCGTCCCTTCTTTCATGGATGTTCAGTGTTCAGCCACGTGCTAGGTACTCTCTTAGCACCTGAGATTCGTGTGTTGCCTCTGTGTCTCTCATTGGCATCAGATCTGCCTAGTCTTGTCTGTCAGCGATACTACCAAACTGAAAAGTTTTTAGACGTTTCTCTTTGTTCTCATTTTCTCAACATGTAGTCACACGGCGCACCTTTATCGACCATATAACCACACAGCGCTAACAGTATCATCTGTTCTCTCCCAGGTACACAATAGACTTTTCTATGTTCTCATTGACTAGATCACTCTGATGTGTCATTTAGACATCACGTCTTCCTGAAGGAATAATTGTCTGCAGATACTCCATTCACCTGCCTCATTTGCATTTAGGTATCCCTTACCTAGTACCACGACACTAATTCTTGCATGATTATCTGCTTGTGAACTGAACTTTCCGCACTCTGAAGCTATGAAGGCTGAAGCTGTCTATTCTTTCACTACTATAGCCCTGAAACAAGCAGCACTTTGGAGCTCTGTACTTGAAAAATGGCATCTGGCTTCTAGGTGTAATTCAAACCTTTATTTTTAGACCTATCATTAGACCTACAAAATAAACATTGTTGATCAATTAATTTTTTGTATGACATTACTTATAGAAATCGATAAGTTGGATGTCATTGGTTTCAAAGAGAATGTAGATGTTAGACCATTTCCAAAGATACAGATTTCTGATATTGACCCTAACTCAAACACAGCATGGACTGCAGACCACAATGATGGTACTTTGAAAGATAACTAGCCATCCCCTTGTAAACAAAGTTAGCTTATCTTAATAATAGTTATGATTTTAACATAAATTGCCGCTTAGATTATATAGCAACCCAGAGCTCATTGAAAAACCCAGGTTTTAGTAAGTAGAAGTGCTCCCTAATAGAACACCGCGATATACTCTGACTGGTGTCCTGGGGATTGGAGGTGAGAGGAAGTTGTGGGGCCTGGACAGGAGTGGTTCAAAGCCTGTGCAAGGCTCCCAGGTTCTGAAGCCTACCAGGAACACAGGCATCATGGAAACAGTTGGCCCCACCAACTCTAGTGACTCACTAAATAACCGGAAATCCTGTTGCAGAGGGAAGTCATTCTAGTTGGATGCTGAAGATAACCTCAATAATATCAAGATGTGTCATTTCCAGACTGATGTAGCCTGATGCTCAGGAGACAGATTTCCTACGCACATCTTTAACCCAAACCAGGAATAGTCACTAAAAAACAACCCCCATCTTTCTTCCTTAAGTCTTGTAAGATCAGACCCTTCTGGTGTCTGTCAGCAGCCATCACAGTGTGAATATGGGTAAAGCTTTCTCATGTCTCACTAAAAGTTTAGTGAAAAGGAGGCTGGGCGTGGTTGTTACATCTTTAATCCCGACACTTGGGAGTAAGTTTCAGTACAGCCAGAACTACACAGAGAAACCTGTCTCAGAATCCACCCCCACCCTAACCCAAAGAAACCTAATAAAAAGAGAAGAAAATCAATGAAGGTGTGAACATAACTCAAAATGAATTAAGCATTTAAAATAAAAAGGAAGATCCAGTTCCCGTCTAAGAGTCAAAAGCTTACAATGTAGGGAATATTAGAGCATGTTTATGCTTTTAAGCTGTTGCAGAAGACTGACTCTGTAAAAGGAAAATGACATTATAGAGACAAGACTTGGAGGTTTAATTGGTGATTTACAAAAGCAAAGTGAAGCAGTAGGTCAAAGGACTCTGAGTAGTTTATTAGATACCATAGAAAGTGAGAAAATCAGAAGTTTCCACTGAGATAGCGATTCATAAGTCAGAGTAAAAGGGAAAAAAAGATACTTAATTAGAGAAGAGATATGGAGATGTCAGTGTTGGATCCAGTGAAGAACACAACTAGAGATAACATTATGAAGTAAATTAAAGGCTAACTTCTTTATATAAAAGATAATTATTAAAGCCAAATTAACTAAAAAAAATGAACAAACAAACAAAAAAAACCCTAGAGTTTCCGTTGCAAGTGAATTAATCATGCTATTGTGAAAAATCTTTTTTTCTTTCTTTTTTTTCTGATGGCATATTTCCCAAAGGATGCTTATGGAGTACAGGAAAAAGTACATTATTTCAATAAAGTCAAAAAATAAAAAAATCTATTCTGGTGTGATAAAAAGTTGCTGAAGGTAATTTATATGATTGAGACATTACTAGACAAAAATTAGCTATAAAGATATCAGCAATGTAAATAATAATTGTAGATTGTTAGCAATATTGATTTCTAGTATTTATAAAAACTTTGTACAATGAATGCTAATATTTTTATAAATATCCAGGCTTTAGTTATTTTCATGTGCTACAAAAAGCTTTGCTGTTTTGCTATGGAAAGTTCAAATTGGTAAGCATGATTAGATAGTTCTGTGTGGGACATCTTAAAGTCATGCGTAACCGTGAACCAAAACCACTGTGGCCACCTTTCCACATGACAAAGAATTGCACCATTTATCAGGAAATACATTATGCTAACATGTTCATGAATGTGGTAATTGACTAAGGCTGGGTGCTACAAAGGCTTGAATGCCTAGTACCGTAAAATTCCTAGGGCTTTGCAATGCCAAATTGGATTTATGGTACAAGGATTTTTATTAACATTAGAATGAAGAAGAAGAAGGAGAAGGAGAAGGAGAAGGAGAAGGAGAAGGAGAAGGAGAAGGAGAAGGAGAAGGAGAAGAAGAAGAAGAAGAAGAAGAAGAAGAAGAAGAAGAAGAAGAAGAGTATGTGTGTGTGTGTGTGTGTGTGTGTGTGTGTGTGTGTGTGTGTGTGTGCAGTTTAAAGCATAGCATATACACTGACTCTAAGAGTCACTCAGGATATCTTCTTTACAATGGTAAGAAGGTGTAAATGGATGTTTCTATCCTGCCCAGTCCTGCAGCTGTTTAGTCTCAAATAAACACACAGAAGCTTATAGTAATGATAAACTCTTTGGCTGATGGCTGAAGCTTCTTATTGGCTAGCTCTCTCTTAGTTATTAACCCATAACTATTACTTTATATACATCCACATAGCCTTATCTTACCTTAAATGAATCATGTTATATCTTTATAAATATTACTGACCAAACTTGACACAAGCAAGAGAAGAAGACCTAAATTACTCTTAAAAATTTGTTCTAAGGTTTTTTGGAAAAATTGCTAGGCATAACTTGTCAGATGGTGATTTGTATGTGAAGCTTAAGTTTGAAATCTCATTAGGAATTTTTATCTTACACATATGTACTGGGGTACTTGTCATACTTTCAGCGGTCAACTTGATACCAGCCTGGAGTGGGCTGGGATAAAGGAAGCTAAGTTGAGGAACTGCCTCTATCAGATTGACCCATGGCATTTCTGTGGGGGTATTTTCTTTTTCTTTTTTTCCTTTGCTTCTATTCAGCATCTTTTTTGTATGCTAACTTGATCATTTTGAAGTAACCTATTTTTTTTTAACATAAAAGAATAAAATTTAATAGGATAAAGCAAAAACAATCTCATTGAAGTTGGATGAATCAAACCAGCAGAAAGAGAAGCACCCCATCAGAGGGCATGGGCATCAGAGACCCACCCGTTCACAGGCTCGGGAGCCCACAAAAATACCAGAAGTTATGAGGCTGTGCCGAAGACCTGTGCAGACCCTTGCTGGCCCTGCGCTTGATGCTTCAGTCTCCGTGAGTTCTTATGACTTTTGCTCAGTTGATTTACAGAGCCCTGTTCTCCCGGTGTCCTCCACCACCTCTGGTTCTTACACACTTTCTGCCTCCTCTTCTGTAGGGTTCCCTGAGCTCTGAGGGGCAGGATTTGATGGAAACTCTGAGCTGAGTGTCCCAAGGTGAGCAGTCTGGCTGTGGATCTCTGTATTAGTTCTCATCAGCTGCAGGAGGAGGCTTTTCTGATGATGGCCTGGTAATGCACGGATCTATGAGTACAGCAGAATGTCATTAGGAATCATTGTGTTTTATTTTTAGATCAGTAGTATTTGGTTTTAACCCAGGTCTCTGGGCTATATGGTCTCTGGTTCTTGGCTACCCAAGCAGTGTAGAATATTTGTGTTCCACCTCATAGGGTGGGACTTCTGTTAAATTAGAATTTGGAGAGGGTGAGCTACTGCCTACAGAGAACCTTCACTCCTATGTTCTAGTGTGTTTGGCGTGGGAACATACTATGTGGGCTACCAAAATAGAGACATGAGCACCAACCCAGCCACACAACCTTTGATTTACACTCTGTCCTGCCTGAAAAATTTGCTAGGGTGATGGTGGTACAACCTTTATAGGAGTAATGGACCCGTGCAGGGCGCTGTCTTAGTTGCTCTGGGGAGGTAGGAAACTGCAAGAGACCCTGGAAGAAAACCAGTAAGAGTGTTCCTACAGAGTGTCCTCTTCAGTTCCCGACTTTAGGTTCCTGCGCTGAGTTTCTGATTTGGCCTCCCTTGATGACGGACTCTAATTTGTAAGCCGGATAATCCCTTTTCTCCAACTGCCATAACACAGAAGCAAACTGGGACAGGTACAAGACCGGCACAATGTGTTCTTTTGGTGCATGCCCATAATGTAGTATAATGATCAGATCAGCGTGGCTGTATGGAAATACACGATACAAGCGTCCTTACTTGACTGTGTGATGGACCATGTTCTCTCTATCTAATTATAACCTTGTAGCTCTTAAACCAGCTTCCTTTTTATTTTCTCCAACCAGCAAACTTCCTCATTCTCCAGTAGTGACCAGTCTACTCTCTTTGAGGACAACTGTGG